TCTTCAAAAAAATAAACGATCACAAAATTTGCAAAGATCAGAATTATGATTTCTTTCAAATCAGGAATCTTAATTTTCTGCAATTCAAATCTTGAAAATATAATTTTAGGCCATTGTTTTTTTTTGTATTAGCTCAAGATCTCGAAATATTTTTAGAGTTCCGAAATCTTTCAAATGTTTGCCGAGTCAGAGCTTAAAAATTTGTCTAAGTACGAGTTCTGGAAAATGTTGCAAAATTCTCAAGGGGATGTCACTCTACACCGAGGGGGACGACTCTATCTACGATGCAAAAAAGATTGTGTTTTGCTGTAGCTACCTGTGCGCACGCTGAGTAGATAGAAAGAAGATTGAAGACAATTCTGAAGATTTCCTGCAAAAGATTTATGAGCGATGCAAGTAGATGCGACAAATGAAAGAAGATTGTTCGAATATTGACTAGTGTGAAATTTGTTGAGCATCTAAACTTGAGATTTAGATGTGTCGCCCCCCTCGCTCTACACACGTATTTTGTGCCAACATTTTTCTCAGTGTGCCTCATGTGTGCTGCAACTGTGCTGGCAGTGACGAGACTGTCAGTCATCAGACTGAATTTGTTTGCTTGTATAATCGATTGTTTGGCAACCCGGTTAATTTTACAGTTCAAACAAAGTTTTTTTAAGAAACAAAACAAGCAGTGGAATTGAGAGTGGAATCCTATCCCAGATCCTAACCAATACGATGCTCCAGAGGCACTCCAGCTGGACAAGCTGATACCGGACAAACTGGCCCGACAGGAGGATCCCTTCAAGAACGTGATCGAGTTCCCCTGTCCGCTGGACAACGAGCACGACAAAGACAACATCTAAGCACATCTGATGGCATCCGAAATCTAGAATCGCTGAAACGAGTTCTCGATGCCAACCACCCGACCAGGACAACACGGATAAACGGGTCTAAGAGGCCAAGGTCATGTACTAACTAGACGACAAGAAACGGGACGAAGCGGTTAATTTCAGAATGCGACGAAAATGTTCCCTTGCTTCAGCTAGCTGGAGTCCATGGCGAAACTTGGCCGGAAGTTCACAGTTGCAGTTATGAAACCAAAAATTGGATTGCGTCAACAGCAATGATTAAAATTTTGACACATACACAGCGCAGGCGCAGATATAGAGCAGTGTTGCCTGTAACTTTAAAGATCATGCACATTTCTAACCATGGGTGCCAATAAAAAGCCCAGGTGTGTCCAACAGTATTTTTCCATGTCCATGATCTTTTTGCTATTTATTTCCCAGAATATCAAAAAGCTGTTAGACCGCGATCTTGAAAGTTTTTCAAAAGCTTCATACACCAGCATTAAAATTCGAACCCAAAATCATAAAACTTTCTTTGCGTTCCAGATCGTGAACATTAAAATTAGTTACGATTAAAATTTGGTCGACTTAAACATTTCTTTAAATTGAGCATTTAAAAAAAATCCGAGCACCCCTCATTTTGTAGGTGTGTGCGTGAAGAATGGTGCCTCTTTTTGATTTTGACATTTGCTCTTCAGTTATCAAAATGGCGTCCAAGCAAGAGAAGCAACGCATCAGAATAATGCACGCATCGCACGCTGAATACGTCAAAGCAGACGTCAAACAGCTTCCTGGGCAGGAGTTTTATACGATAACCGCCTGCTGCCTTTCCTGAAACAACACGATTGTTCCGTGCTGTTTTGGCCGTATTTGACATCCTGTCATTATGGGAAAAACACCATGAAGTGGTATGCCGCCAACAACGTGCAGTTAGTGCCCAAGGACAACAATACCAATACGCCAGAGCTCCACCCGATCGATAAATATTGGACCGTCGTCAAGCGGAACCTGAAGAAGATTAAAAAAAAAAACTCTTGGAAGCGAGAAGCAGTTTAAGGCAAACTGGCGTTCTGCGGCGAACAAAGTGAACGAAGTGAGGTGGCTGTAAAGAATCTGATAGCAGGAGTTAACCGAAAGGCCCGGATTCGGTCAACCTCGGGTCAACCGGAAGCTCAACAGAAAATTTTCTGTATTTTATACTAATTGAACTTAAAAAAAAATGAATATTTAATAAAAAATTTAATCAATTTACACGCATTCTTGTATGACCAAATTTTGACCGTAACACCGTTTACATATATTTTCTAAGGCTGTATTCCATTTGGTGAATTTTCACTGAAATTTGACAGATGGAAAAGTTTCAAATAAACCTGCTATTACAGCAGACTTATTTCTGACAAACAAGAAATCAACTTTGACAGATGCTTTCTCGAAAATCGGCCGTTCAACAACAGAGGGATTTTCGAACATCATAATTTATTTTCGAAGTGTCAAATTTAAGTGAAAAATTTCCAAATGGAACACAGTCTAAGTATATAACATTTTGTGAAAATCGACATCTTCAGATTTCTTCAAAGTCTAAGTCAATTTTCAAAAAAAAAATCCTTATTTGGGATCTTGGGATTCGAGACATCGTGATTTTTACCCTTCTTACAGAGAAGGGTATACATTAGGGTGGATCAACTTAAAAACCCTCAACTCCCCATAGCTCTATCGATTCGTATTGAGGTCCCCGAACCTGGTTACGATCTGGATTTGCGGGAGAATTTTGTGATTTGTATGGGTAAATGTATACAAAACGGTCCAAAACTAATAAATTACTTGTCAAAAATTTATAAATCGCTCTGTTTTTACCAAACCTTAGTTACTGTTAAAAAACCGAATTTTGGAGGGCCACCCTAAGTTATTTCTTAAAAATCAGTATAAATCGTGAACGGGAGATACAAAATTGATTACTTCAGCAAAGTTGTTTTAAATAACTTGTTCTACCATTTTGTCGAACATCAGGCCGGTTTATCACGAAACACGAATAAATAAAAACTTGATATTTAGAACTCATCACTCATCAGAACCACCCTAATGTATTGATCATCAAAAGATTGGCTAAAATAAATGAACAAAACTTTCCTGAACATACTATACACCTTACTCTAATGATTTAGGCACAATCAATTTATTCCACATAAATACGCATTCTGGACCACTGTGCATTGGCTACACCGTCAAGGAATTGGCAAACAACCTATTTTGAGTGCCAAATTTGTACCATTTTTATTGTTATAATTTGTTTAAAAACCTAGTTACCGATGTTCATAGGCTACTAAGGTCATAGCCTACTTTGATGCTACGCTTGTTTTGTTGTCGAAGCGGTTTGTACTGTTGATAAGAATCGATAACAAAAAAGCATAATTTATCGATAAGTTTCGAAAGATTTCGAAACTTAAGGATGTGATTTTTGAGAAAATTTACTTTCTGACAGTACCAATAAATTTACTCCACATAAATACGGATAAATTATTATGACAACACTCAAAATAGGTTGTTTGATAATTCCTTGAGTGTGTAGCCAATGCACAATGATCCAGAACCCGTATTTATGTGGAATTATATTATAGAGACGTGATTTGACGATTTTGTTATATTTATGATTGAACATTGGCGGGTTTGAACGCAAAAGAGAAAAGTAGATGTCGAATTAGTCCCGAAAAAATAAAGGATTTCGTGTTTGCCATCTACTGTAATGAAACTTTGCATTAATTTGTGATCGTTTGGAGGTTCTACAATGATGAAATGGAAGCAATTTGGGATCTCCAGTACTCGTACACGGCTGTTGAGTCTGCGACTCATATTACAGTTCCGTTTACTCAAGTTCGCAAAAACGTACTAAATGTTTCTCATATGAGTCATATGACTAAATGTTTCTCATATGAGTCATATTCAACGGCCGGAGTGGACGGCCTCTACGCCACCACTATGCAACACCACTGCAACCAGCGACTTCTAATAGGATTATCAGCCCAATCAACTGTAAAGCCCTCTAGTTAAAGTATGGACGACTGTCACCACAAAACTGAAAAAAAGCTGTTCCAATCTAGCAAAGTGGTGGATTTTGACGGTTCGATTGGAACTACTTTTGGAAGACGTCCATACTTTTACTGTAGGACTTTAAATCAAGTGCGGATAGATTCTTCTTCTACTAGGGGAAATGACGGCTTCGGCATGACAGACTATTTTCGGCAACCCAAATTGAAACACTATTTTCACTGGATTTTCTTACGAAAACACTTCGCTGAATGCATGCAAACGATTCTTTATGCTTTCAGCTTCAATTTGACTATATTTTTACCACTGAGAAAAAGCAATCTAGCAGGGTTTTCTTGAAATGAAACACACGCACTACAAATTGTAGCTGATTTCGAGTTGCCGATAATAGAACAGCAGATTTACATGCAGTTCAAATGGAACGGTTGCCGAAGAAAAACTGGTTGCTGACAATACTCGCTCTCACTAGAGAAGATTGAAGCTTTGTAAAAGCGTTTCAAAACAGTTTTTGACAATTCTTTCGACTGAAATTGTTAGAGCAGCTGGCAGCAAATGTTTGTAAACAAACCAATACTGCATATGTGTGCGTTCCATAGAGAAAAAGGCTATAGAAAGAAGGTCGCTGCTTAGGTTGCCGAGAATACGTAAATTCCCCTACCTAATGGCTATTACGTTCCAACTAAAACTTTACACCTGCCCTCCATATTTGTTGATTGAGTGTCTGCTAAGCATATATCTTTGTCCAAAGAAGCCCAGAATTTTTACAACCCGAAAAACTCCTGGATGGGACCGGGAAGCGAACACAACGCCTACAGCTTGGGGATGACTTAGGCTATGACTTTTGAATCACCGTACAAACCAAGTTTTCACACATTAACATCTTAGTAACGGTTGTATGAAATTATTCCCTTAAAATAGTCTTTGTTGTTTTTTTTTTTATTTTAGCACAACAATCTTCCAAGGTGTAGATTTTCACATGACAGTTCACATTTTGCAGCTTCACATCTCACGAACGGTGACATATTAATCCACTAATATAGCATTTTCTTGTAGTTTTATATCTCGCAGACAATATTTGCCCATCACCAAAAACACTAAAAATTCTCAGAAAGAAAAACTGCCAAATACCTTAGAAAATCCAATGCTACCGAAGTAGGCGTAGTATCGCACAGTGCGATTTGCACTAACCGATAAAAAGCAAATGAAGTCGATAGGAAATAATTGACCGCACACTATGACTGTCAATAGCCATCAAAAATGGTGACCACCGCTGGAGAGAGTTTTATAGACTTCCACCATGGTCCTAATTAAATTTGGCCGTTGCGCCACAGCTGTTCTAGTCTCGCGGCACCTTAATGTATGTACTCGATTTTACTAGTATTTAATACTAGAATTATGTTTGCATCCTCCTGTGCAATCGATAAGCTTGCGTCCGGTGAACGGACAAAACCTGTCGAAAGGAACCAACGTGATGTGATGGCCTGTCTTCGCGTGTGAGTGTAAGTTGCAAGTAATCGTTTGGAATTATTGTGGTTTCAGTCAGATGCCCGCTCGGTAAATTCTTCCATATTTACATTTTACCGTGGGTTCGTTCTTGGCCAAGGTAAGTGGTTCTATTTTCGATTTATTCCTACTTAGACGGAATGGTTTTCAATCGCAGTAGGCTGTTGCCATTCACGTTGCCGATTGATTTCCAAGTATTGATTCACTTTTATTTACACCGTATGCAATCAACATGACTTGGAGTGCTGTAATATGACAACAATTGCGTAATCAGAAGTAAAAACCCTAGTTTATCTACCTATGGTGAGATCTGACCCTTCTTACTTATTAAAATTCCTATAAAAATGCTCTAGTCGCATTTGGGAGAATGAAAATAATTTCTGAATGATTTGCGGGCCTATGCAGAAAGGAATCCTGATTCATGGATGACTTTTTACAGGTATTGCTTTTTCCGAACTTCTTGATGTAATAAGCTAATAAGGTCATAAGGAAACCAGGGTTGCTTCCACTCACTTGCTATAAAAAGATGTTTTTGGGAATTATGAAATCATGAAATAGTATAATGCCCATTAGTACTTGTAAGTTACAAGAAGAGGTCATGAAGTATATGTTTGACACATAAAATCTGTCAATATTGATACGACAATACGACTCGTGAGCGCTCACTCAGAGTGAACGCTCACGAATCATAAGATCGCCAATTGTGACGCTCTGAAAGCGAAATTGACAGGTCTTATGAGTCATACACATACTTTACACCCTCTTCCTGTTACTTAAAAGTACAACATACAATTATAACATATATTGGCCACTGCACAGGAAGCACCTGCAACATGTCCACTAGACTATGGAGAAACCATAATTTCGGTTCATATCTATCTCAGAATTCACCAGTTCACTCTACTTTAGAAAATGAAAGCTGAGCTTGTTGATAATTTTCTCAGCTACAACTTTGTTGAATACCACATTTCAATCAAATGTAAAGAACCAAAATTATTAATGATTCAAGTCACTGATGTCTTATGATTATGCTCAATCAACTGTTCAGCAGGCAACATTGGTGTTTATGGCGCGTAGAATAGAGGACAAAATCATGGCTACTATGTCACACTGCAGAATACAGTGTTGCCCAAAATACAGTTGCTTAATCTTGCCATAAGATTATCAATCTCTTAACAATTAATAACTATTTAATTTGACGTTTGGCTGAAAAATGATTTTCTGCAAAGTTGTAGCTGATAAAAATTCCCATAAAAATAGCAATAGAATTTGTTAACAGTACAATATGTTAAAAGGCTAGAAGACAATGAACAAAAAGTTCCCATAGTAATTTGAATATAAACTTCAAATGGTTTGTGCCAAGTCAGTTTCTTATCAAATGAGTTTAAACTTTCGGAGGCTAATCAGGACCCGATTTGAAACCGTTTGAACACCGTGGAGCGAAAATTTCAAATGTTGTATCAGTCTAATGTCCACACTCGAACAATGGGATTTTGGGTGTTTAAGTGCTTCGAGGACAATTTATTTTTTTTTTAAATTTAACTTAAAATGAATAAAAAAATATTTGTTTATTTTTTCGTGCATTTTTTTTTTAATATAAAGGACGCCATTTTGAAAATTTTACAAGATCCAAAATGGCCGAATTTTAGAAAAATGTGAATCATTGCCCATAACAAACAAATACGCAAAATTTCATGCAAGTCGGAGAAAGTCGATTCAAATTTAAATTTTTGTATCGCTATTATACATGGAATTGCTTCCTTCTGTCTTCTCTGTTAATTTACATTAGAAAAATATATTAATTTACATGGTTATTACTGAAAATATAAAAAAAAAATCAGAAATATTTGTATCACTAATTTTTAATGTTTTCCAAATAGCTCGAAAACAGTAGGCTGTGGAATTTTGACGTCTTCAAAAGAGTTGTCTATTTTCTAAATATGAACTACTTTGTTGAAGACATTAAGCCTCTTCTAAAATGTAAGAGTGACAAGTTCGATTTTGGACCCATCTAAGCCGAAGTTGTAACCGATAAGTGATGGTAGCGCCGCTACGAGCAGAGCGGTCGGTGTTGAAACTGAACACATATAAACAGGTACAACCGAAATTGAGAACTCTCGTAGATTAGTCTTCGCTAAATATGATTGTTTCACAATTTAAATTTGTGAAGCGCAACATCGTATGATGTTTTTTTACCCAATCAGAGCAGAACACGTAAGAATTCTATTCAATTCTCGTACCCCCGAAGTGGAAGATAATTACCCTGATGTGAGCTACATTTCATTCCTGTGAGACCTGTGCGAGCGATCGGATCGTTAAGCAGATTTTCTTAAGTCAGAAGAAAATACCGTGTGTGCTTGAGAAATTTGCCACAAGTGTAGTATAGTGCGATTAAGTGAAGCCTAAAAGGCTATAGGCAAAAAGGCGAAGGTTTTTTTTATTGGGTTCTAGAAGTCACCATCTTCGCGGTCATACCGAGCACCCTGCGCTCCCAGATCTGCGCGTGCCACGTGCGGCTCCGAGTAGTTCCTCGGCAGCGTCCGAGTCGAACTAGACCCACGTGTCGACTTGTCCACCATCGACCTTTTGTGTGACGACGAAATCGAGCAGTTGCGACTGTGTGGTAACCGGAACGCTACGCTTCCAGACCACAGACCAGCGTGGGAAACGAAAGCATACCAGGCACCCCACGCTTCAAGATCTGCGCGTGCCCCGTGTGGCTCCGAGTAATTCCTTGGCGGTGGCTAAGTCGAAGTAGGCCCACGAGTGGAGTTGTTTCACCGTCATCATCGACCGGCCGTGTAACGACTACAGTGAACGGCGTCGATAACAGCACCGTCGACTGCGCTCCCAGACTAGCGTTTGAAACGTGGTTGCTCCGAGTAGTTCCTTGGCGGCGACCAAGTCGAACTAGGCCCACGTGTTTCATCGAGTGCATCTACGTCGGCGATCGCGGCGTCAACAGCGAGCACCGTCGGCAACGGTAACTGCAGCAGAAAAGACCAGGTTAGATCGAGCCAATTTTATATTACGTGCACGTTTAGGGCCTTAGGACAAAAACCCCCAGAATAAATTGAGTGTCAAAGTTTAAAGGGTGATACGGTCAAAATTTGGTCAATATCAACTTGACGTATTTCTTTCAATTTTGCATTTAAAAAACCTGAACCCCCCTCATTTTGAAGGTGTGTGTGTGTAGAATGTTGCTCCTATTTTGATTTTGGAATTCACTCTTCAGTTGTCAAAATGCCGTCCAAGCAAGAAGAGCAGCGTATCAAAATTTTGCTCGCGCATCGCGAAAATCCGAGCTACTCGCACGCAAAGTTGGCAAAATCGCTAAAAGTTGCCAAATCAACCGTTACAAATGTAATTAAAGTGTTTGGGGAACGTTTGTCGACAGCCAGGAAGTCTGGATCGGGGGGAAATCGAAAACCGGAAGCCGCTGAGACGACAAAGAGAGTTGCCGGTAGTTTCAAGCGAAACCCTAACCTCTCTCTCCGAGATGCCGCAAATAAGCTGGGTGTATCGTCTACAACCGTGCATCGAGCCAAAAAACGAGCCGGACTATCGACTTACAAGAAGGTAGTGACTCCAAATCGCGATGATAAACAAAATACGACGGCCAAAGCGCGATCCCGGAGGCTGTACACGACGATGCTGACGAAGTTTGACTGCGTGGTAATGGACGACGAAACCTACGTCAAAGCCGACTACAAGCAGCTTCCGGGACAGGAGTTTTATACGGCAAAAGGAAGGGGAAAGGTAGCAGATGTTTTCAAGCACATGAAACTGTCAAAGTTCGCAAAGAAATATCTGGTTTGGCAAGCCATCTGTACCTGTGGCTTGAAAAGCAGCATTTTCATAGCTTCCGGGACTGTCAACCAAGAAATTTACGTGAAAGAGTGTTTGAATAAACGTCTGCTGCCTTTCCTGAAGAAACACGGTTGTTCCGTACTGTTTTGGCCGGATTTGGCATCTTGCCATTACGGTAAAAAGGCCATGGAGTGGTACGCCGCCAACAACGTGCAGGTGGTTCCCAAGGACAAGAACCCTCCCAACACGCCAGAGCTCCGCCCAATTGAGAAATACTGGGCTATTGTCAAGCGGAACCTAAAGAAGACCAAAAAAACTGCTAAGGGCGAGCAGCAGTTCAAGGCAAACTGGCTTTCTGCGGCGAAGAAGGTGGACAAAGTGGCTGTACAAAATCTGATGGCAGGGGTCAAGCGTAAGGCCCGGCAATTCGGATTTGGAAAAGCGGAAGCCTAACTGAATATTTTTCCTGAATTTTATACTAATTGAACTTGAAAAAGAAATTTAATTTGATTTTTTTAAATAAACGATTTCACCGATTTACACGCGTTTTCCCTTGACCAAATTTTGACCGTATCACCCTTTAGTCCTTGCTTCACATTTTCTTGTCGACCGCTGGGTTGATCTGTGGAAGAATCTAGCCTATATCAGGAGATTTTGGTTTTGTTCGCGTTTTGGGTTTTGCCGGTAATTTTTGGTAGTTCTTACCTGACCTGCCCTGAGAGGACTAGCCAGGTACGGTATTTGAACACGCCCTCTCGTAGTACGATTTATCGTACTGGCGCTTAAGCGAAAGGGTTTTCGAAAGGGTAGTTCGTTGAGGAGCTTGCCGATTTTGCGGACATAGTTCGAAAACATTCTGCTGTAAAAATAACTATGGTTTAGTGAATATATCCGCTGTTTTCTGCTATTTCCGCCTTGCCATCTACCCTACTGTTACAAAGTGTTTCGATCATCTTTTTTGACGGTCCCGCATTATAATAAGAAACTATGCTGAAGACATGAAGTCTCGGAAATGCTTCGTTTCGGAGTTATGAATTATGTGGTCCTGGACAAACAATTTTGCCACTATTGATCTTGATTTCGAATTCTCATTAGTTTTTATGTGTTGACTGGTTTTGGCCCTAGTCAGAAGCTGGCCAATTCCCCAGGGCTCCCGGATCATATCCAAGTGCACAAAATGTGGCCACTAATGATCCTGATTTGGAAATCTCATGTTAGTCTAGGGTTTTGGATACAGAAACTGTAAACTTCCACGAGGACACCTAGAACATATCTGGTTGTTGCCAATGTGGTCCTGGGTACTCTACCCTGCCCTGGGTATGACCACAATTGATCTTGTTTTAGAATTCACATTTATTCAATCGTCATTATGTTTGGCACGCTTCAGGTCACTTCTGGTCTTAATTATCATTAAAAAATTGGACCCTCAATAAAACCGAAAAGTCGATGTTTTGTGCTTTGTTGAGTCCAACTTTATGCCATGTTGACTTATAAAAAATGTTTTTGCATGTGAATTTTCTTTGGAAAATTAGAAAAAAATGTGATTTTTTTTAGATTTTTGCTATCTTTCCCCAATATTTTTAGAAAAATCAAAACGTAATTATTTTTTTTTCAGAGCGGTGAACTTCAGAAACATTCAATCGCGTTCTTTGGAATCGATTGTATCAATCATCATGCTCAACTTTTCCCAAATTTCTTAAATTCGCCTGAACCTTACAAACAAAAAAAAACAAATCAGGAAGCTAAGCGGCATATTCCCAAAAGGTGACATTGCCCAATCACATCAAAGGGGGGATATTTTTATGGCAAAGGCTACAAGTGATCCGTTACATTTTCATTGTCAATGGCACAAGTGTTCAAACTTACACTTCAGCTGCCTCACGGTTTGTGTGATCACTGTCGGATGCTGACTAAGCAGACATGCGCAGTAGGATTTGATGTTTGGGAAAAGATGTTCATTTTATGTTCGTTCATTTTATTTTCGCCGTGTTGTAATGGTGGAACACCCACCCTTGCATTTGTATTCTACTATTGGACAAGGACAAGGTTTAATCAAATTTTCAACTGTATTAGAACTGATTGTTGAAAAATATTTCCCCGAATATGCACTCCACAGTACATTATACAACATGAAAAAAAAAATCATCAATAATTTTGTAAATTAGCCAACAACATATGACATCATGCAAATAAATCCGTCATGAATCAACCCCAAAAAAGGTTCGCAGCCTTTGCTACAAATTTCGTCGATCAACACAACATTTATGAATGAAAAAATGACGTCAAATTACGTTCGGCGCGCCGTCGCTCAGCCAACGCAGCAACGCGACGTCATTGTCACTTCCGTTTTGAAAATCATTTCTACAGGCCCGACAACCACCAACAGAATTTCCCTGTAAACAACAACTTCCTCCGTAAACAAAGTCATTCACCAGTACGAATGGCGGGCAATTTGAAAATTTCCCTCCCATCATGGAGCAGCATGGTAGCCCGTTTGTCAGCTATGCATTCATGAACGGATTCACTCAGCACAGCAGGCCACTCATTTTCCCGCGAACGATCGCCCGCCTGCTGTGCGCGCGTGAGAGCGAGAGCTCTGCTGACCGTCCCAACCAACCAGCAGCCAAGGATGTCGCTTTCCCTTCGCTCAGTGAAATTTTCGGACATGATCCCATAGAAGCAGGCGCGGCTGTCCACGTTCAGCCAGTCAGTGATCATTCGATATTGTTGCCTGGCGGACGCAAACCACAGGAGCCCGAGAACTAGCGCGTGAAAAATAAGATGATCGCGAGTTTCGACGGTGGAAAATAGGAAATAAACGAAGAAGAATCTAAAGTGCAACTGTGTGATCTAGCGAGCGAGAAAGAGAAAGAGCGAAGAAAATTTTTGCTTCTCGTTTGGGGAAAAATCATACTTGCTATTATCGATATAGGAAAAAACCGGAATCTGTGGGCAACATTGCGATTAGTGGATCTACATAGCGGCGTTAAAAAGAGCCGAGAAGACTGGGTTTTCATCAATTGAAAAGTGCGTAATTTCTTTTATTGCAAGGATGTTTCGAAAGTGCACATTTTTTGGCGAAGAGAAAAAATGAAAAATTATGTTGATAGTGGTTGTAGAGCGAACGTTGTTGTGATTGTGAGAAATAAGAGATAATTGCGTAAAAAATGTGCACACCTCGTACAGACACAGCGCACGTGCACACGCACACACGCTTACGCTCCACAAGAGTGGAGTAGAGGAATTCACCAATTTCGCAAACGTTTATTTTCCCATCACCGTCTGTGCTTCGTGGGGAAGATCTTGCAGCGACGGTAACCGCAATACATGCCAGAATGCGAGAAGAAAGAACGATCACAGTGGAGATTTTAAAACGCAGCAGGCCACGTTGCGATTACTTCTTCTATGGGACAACGAAGAAACCTTAATCCATCTGTCCAATCTAACAGAAAATCCTTGGCTCACTAGATTTCTTGAATTTTCCTTATCCATAACGATTTCGATATCGCTACGCAGTTGGTCTAGCAAATGAAAAATTGTCTTTGATCCGTTCATCAGCAAACGGCAGCAGTGTTTGATTTGGTTTGGTGACTGGTGGTTACATCACCTAGGAACGAAAATCAATGTCACTACAACTGATCACGCCGAGTGTGTCCACCAAAATAATGCTAAAGGAATTTGTGTTGTTTAAAATTGGAATGACAGGAGCAAAGCATGTGTTTTCGAAGCTGTTCATTTTGGCTTGCCGCTGTTAGCTGGTCAAGCTGATATTTTGCGTGCAAAAATCAGTTCTACCCCAACGGTTTTCCGTTGTTTTTATTTCCAAAAATAAATACCCATCTATATGGGTATAAACGAAGACTTTCCAATTCATAATAAGGAGTGAAACTGCATTCCTATAGCAACTGCCCGAAACAATTGATTGTCACTGTTCCTATTATCATCTTACTCAGAACCACATTTCAACCCATCCCCAACGAAGCATAAACGGCGAAACAAAATGAAACTAGAAATCGAAGTTGGTGAATCATTTACTTCCTATCAGAACCCGGTAGATCTAACTTCAAACCCTTGATTCCACAGCCCAAATAAGTGCCAAACCAAGTCGTATAGAACCGGAAGTGAAGTGATAGCTTTAGTCCCGTACATAAACGCTACATAGTTACCGAGGCATTTCGACAAAGACCAGGACGTCGGTGGAAATATTTATATATTTTAGCACCTTCGTTCAGCGCCAAGGCAGCAGCAGCACCAGTTTTCAGTTTCGTCTGAAAAGAGATTAACAACAACAACAACAATAAAAACAAAACTCACGTAAAAATGATTCACGTGGACGAAACCGACCCCGTTGGTGGTAAGTTGTTTTAGAATTGTTTTTTTTTTGTATGCGTGACCCACCTCCGGGCTAACTAGATCATCATGGTCGCCATCGTCATCGTCGTCGTTATGACGATGGTAGTAGCTCACGGATTCTCTAGGGTAGCTAGACTCACTTTCCCTCCCTTCAACTCCGCCCGATCGTGTAGTTTGCGTTTTCATTTAGCATTTAGGCGAGAGTGTCTACAAGGTTTTTTTTTTCTCATCAACTTTTTCGTAAGTAGGTATGCTCCTGTGGAAAGCGAGTGAATAAACAAAAACAGCGCAAAATATTTCTGTCAAGTTTTCACTACCCAACTCATGCAGGCCGAAGACCGGCGGCGAAAGCGAACCATTCAAGTGGAATTTTAATTTATGATCTCGAACAGCACTAGCAGTCTACATATCGGTAATTGGAAAAGTACTGTGCGTCTCCACCAGACACCACCATTCTCTTCCTGGGACATCATTGCATTCGCAGTGATGCCGGGATGCAACGTAGAAAATCGGGGGGCTGGAGGCTACGGTTGGTTAGTAATAAGCACTTGACGTACAAGTAGGATTAGTGGTGCGTCAGAATATTTGGTTTATGAGGGCATGCAAACATTCCAGGTCGTCACGCTTCTCTGGCTATGTCTGTCGATTGGCACGTGGGTTGAATGGGGATAATGATCTTGTTTGATGATCCTCGGTCGACGATGAATGAAGAGTAGGCAACTTTTTCGGGTAAATTTCCATCAAATTGTGTAGTAGTTGCCATTTAAAAACAGGAGCAGCGAATTGAATGTGCTAACGGTATTACTTGTTGTTGAGCTGACGCAGTATTAGATTGAGGTCGTGTTTTACCGAGGTCGAAGTCAAGGTTCAATTTTGATATGCTAAACATTTTGCTTTTTTCATCATGATGGCAGGATGAAATATGGTATCACCAGCATACACTTTTCTATTATTTATATTGAGATAGATGTTTTATATTTGCTTCTAGTAAAAACTAACATTACGTATAATCCGAATTTATTTAATAAAAAACTACAAGGGACAGTCCTATGAGGTTGTACGCAATGGTGACGTAGAACTACGTGACCTTATATAATAAATGTTATTTGTTAACTGCAGCAGGAGCTTGCGTTTTGTGTAGGAATAGGAATTTGAGTGGAATTCTCTCTGTTTATACTCTTTAGTATGACTGATTGTCCTGAAAAGAACCTTTTGATATGAATTTTAGTTGGAACACGTTCAGAAATTTAACTCTTTTGGGCCGATGGTAGTACAGGCTTAAAGCCTTTGGAAGATGATGATGACGTGTAAGCAGCTGGATGAGCAAATCGGACCGGGCAATCCCATATTCTTCGTTTAAAGGCAAGAGTTTCGGCCCGTCTACTCCTGGACAGGGGTTGACCTGGTGGTTGGAAAGGCGCAGCGAAGGATACCTCAACTTCACTACGAAAAATGGGCACTCAGAAAAGTCTCGGCCAGGTTGCTTCAGGATTGGAAGCTTGATTGCTAACGTCTTGCTGGTTCCTTTTGCTGATCGTCGCGATGCTTCTACTTCCACACAGGGGTAGTTACTTTATTTGTTATGTGACTAAATGAGTGAAAATGAAAATTACATCAGATATTTTCGAATATGTCATTGAGGTTTAGTGTTTACCTACGGTTACTTGATGATTAAATAAAAAATAATTGCATGAAGTAGGGCACGGCTTGTTGGTTGTGAAGGTGCTACTACGAATGGGCACTTGGAAGAGTCTCGGCACGGCTGCTGCTGGACACGGGTTCTCAACAAGTTGGTAAATCTTAGCCTTTAGCAGGAAGACGCTTAACACTTTTTTCGGCGAATGTATGATCCTGTTTCACGTCATTGTTCTTCTCTATGCTTGTTCTGATAAATTAGTACTTTTATTTAATTTCTCTACTGCGCTAAATCAAACGAATAGAAATATGAAGGGACGTCGGTTACGCGCTCGAATAATTGAAAATTCGATAAATATTTAATCGAATAGCTGGACAAATCTTTACGATTAATCGTTAAACGAATGATTGGACTTTTAGGCATCCCTAGAAAATAGTACAATTTCATGTTTTTGGTGGTCCTTCGAAAATGTCTAACAGCAGAATTGCAACCAGCAAGTGTAACCCAAGAACCAAAAGCGGTGCGATGCTAGTTTTCATTGCTATGATGACTACTGAATTAAGGGATTAAAAAGCACCCCTCTGCTTTCAATTCTCTTCATCGATTTTCTCTTTTGATGACCATGGCTTCACTAACCTATTTCGCACTATTTCTACTATGCTCTTCTATCATCCAGAACAACAAACGTATCAATGAATGTGTTTGCCGTCGAGTTATTAACGAAACAGAAAGTCGATGAAGAGAATCGATCAAAATCACTTGCGGGGTGCAAGTTAGCAGGGGTTGCTTCCAAGTTTGGTTACAAGATTACAAATCTGGAAAGCATTTTGTGTGGTCGTTGGGGGCGTGTGTTTCTGAATATGGCGATGTTACGCAATTGAATCCTCCCTTTTCGCACACGCCCGAAGATCGGAGGAGAATGTCACTTCGACTTGTTTCGTTTACTAACGATTTTCTGATGACTGTGTTGGGGAAGCATCAATGCTACATCGACATGTTTCGTCTAGAGACGATTCTCTGATGACGGTGTTGGGGAAGCAGCATATGCATGCACGTAATTGGTGGATTTGTTAGGTATTTCGACGCTTTTGGACAATGCTTGAAATTTACCACTTTTCAATAGTTTCTTGTTGAAAATCAACAGTCGGATTGCTATTGATGCTTAAAAACATTTATGATCGATTGATGATAAAATGCTTGAAATTGGTGCAGGGGCAGCTGAGTTATTAACATTCAAAATCTTTCATAATTTCGTTACATTTTCCATTTCCGTTTTCACAAAGCGTACCCCCATATAGAAATCATAGACGTAGTCCTACGTCAAAAAATCATACTGTATCAAATCTCATATAAACTTCAAATGACCAATGCAGTCTAATGTTGCAACCAAATGAGCTAAAGGTTGTTTAGATCGATCAGCACCTGATTTGAAGTCGAATGAAAGGAGAAAAATTGGTAAATTTAACCACGCTACAATTAATTAATTTATCTTTATTAGGGAGGCTTTCAGCCTTGGGCTGGTTCGCCTTTAACCACGCTACATCCTGAGTGGAAAAAATCTCCAAATACATATTTTTTGAAAGTTGTAGCATTTCCAAAAGTTCATCAAAATTACTGAAATTTCAAACAGCACTATATTTTACATAACTTTGCTCATTTTGGGTCCGAACGTTGTCCAGTTCACTGCTGAAAAAGATCCTGTAGCAAGTACAAACCGAAACTGCTGAGATTTTTTTTTGGCAGCGATCGGATTATAAAAAAATTTGGATAACCCATTAAGCATGCATGATGACCGTACACAACCATTTTTTTATTGATGGAAACCAGCTAAATTTTTTCAGCGATTATTTTATAACAGAAGATTGCTGGAAAATCAGTGATTTCTTTACTGAAAATTATTGGGTTAATTTTGGTGAAGTTTCAGCAATTACGAGAAGCTTTTCTCGTTTTAATAAGGAAAACAATGCATCAAGTAGTTAGATAAATCACTAAAACCCTCTGAATGTGGTGTGATTGTATCATTGCGACCCGAACTCTATTCAGCTTTTTACGCTTCACGCTATTTCAAACTACCCAAAATGGATAAAGTAAGTTGGGAGTGACAAGTCGACAAATGAAAAACATCTTGGGCAACCCACTCTAAACCTCAGAGGAAGAGGAGACAATAGGGGGACTCTTATGAACCAACTTTCTGTCAAACGCGAACCAGCACCTGATTGGTCGGGCGAACGTATAGAAACGCGAGAATTTTTACAACAGCAAATTTATTTTCTTGTATTTTGCCAACCGACTATGTCGCCCATCATTAAATAGTTTTTGCACTGTCGTTTCCGCGAGAGAAGAAGAACACGTCAAAGACAAAAAGAAGCCAGTAGTCTCCTCTTCCTCTTAGCTCTAAACTTTAGTTCTGGTAATTAGGGGGCGACCCCGGCGTAGTGGTTAGCATTCATACCTCTCACGCCAAAGTCACGAGTTCAAATCTCACCCCCGGACAAGTCACGAATGACCCAAGAGCGTTAAAGTGACTATAATTCAAAAAAAAAAAAAAAAAAAAAAAAAAAAAAAAAAAAAAAAATAGTTCTGGTAAAAATTAAATATAACGTAGTTACCGGTTGCTACGAGGGGGACGACTCTATCTACGATGCAGGAAAGATTGTGTTTTGCTGTGACTAGCTGCGTGCACGCTGAGTAGATAGAAAGAAGATTGACGATGATTCTGAAGATTTCCTGCAAAAAGATGATGCGCGATGTAAGTAGATGCGAGAAATGAAAGAAGATTTTTCGAAGATTGATTCCCTAGTTGGAGATTTGTTAAGCATCTAAACTTGAGATTTAGATGTGTCGCCCCGCTCGGGTTGCTAGTGTAGTTGTTTGTTGTTGTTTGCTCCGTCAAGTCATTTCTAGACATTTGTTTCATATTTAATCAGGGACTCGACAAGGATCTGAATGGATAAATCCTTTGCATTAAACGGGGATGTGTCCTCCTCTGCTTCCGAAAAGATACCAAAATTTACCGATTCATTGTGTTAGTAGTAATAGTGCTAGAAGAAGTTGTACAAACTACATGGTGAAACTCGATCAATTCCTCGATCCAAAAGTTGGTCTATTGAAATACTTAAAAAAAATCCCAACTATATCGTAGCCAAATGTTAACCACTGCCAAACATGGCAACTTATTTCGGACTTATTTCAGACCAAAAAATCCCTTTCAGCTAGCGCACGTTAAGTCTAATCTAATCTAATCTAATACAAACGCAGCCAGTATGAGAAAGCATCCTGGAAAATGATTAGGTTAGATGAGGTCTAATAATTTTTCTTGTCTAATTGATGTTTACAGCATATCTGAGATATGATATAAACATCAA